TCACTAGGAAAATGATTTCTTATTACCTGGTTCAAGTAATTATTACTTTCACACATTATTATTAATGTTTAGTTCTCAAAAATTCCATCAAAATACCCTCGAATTTATTGACATTATTATTAATAATTGATTGTTATTATTTTAAGAAAATATATTTTTATACACCAACTAAACTATTTTCTAAAAAAATTATGGCGTCACATAGTACATACAATATAATTAATCAAATCATCGAACCAGCAAGTTATATCAATCTCACAAGAAAATTGATTGACTTGTCGAATTAAGTAGACGATTGGAATATATAACTATAAATAGTAGAAAGAATAGTACGTATATATTTCTTCTGTCTCAATTATGTGATGTAATTTGATTTAGCATGAAGTTTAAAAAAGAAAGAATATTTTTCGGGAATAGTGGTCTAAAATAAATCATAAATGTTTGTGTGACTATAAAATTATTTCATTAAAAGTAAAATGAACATTTCAAAATTAAATTGTTACTAAATATAGAAATGTTCCATTTTTTTGAAACTGACTAAAAATGAAAATAAGTCATATAAATTGAGACAGAATGAGTATCATGTATATTCGAAAACAACCTCTTTAGATCTACAAGATAATGATAAGGTCTTTGCATACCCTACCCTCCTCAAATCGCACTTAATGGGATTTCATTGAGTATGTTGTTGGAGTATATATCATGTATATATTTGAGAAGTTAAAGGCCAGGATCTTAATGGAAATTTTTTTAATTACGAAGGGTTTATACGTAACCATAATAATATCTCAATTACTATCAATCTTAAAATAATAGTATCTAGATTAATCATGACTCACCAGTCCCTTTCTCTCTTGTATATATTTTTCACTATAAATTCCCTCTTCACTTAGAATCATATCACTTGAACAAAATCTAATAAGTCCCCTCCACCAAACTCAAAAAATATGGCCATGCCTCAGCCAAATTTAATAGAAAACCCTATAAAACTTAGCAAATTGAGGAATAATAATATTAATATTCCTCAAAAAAAGAAATTCAAGGTTATCTTTTTGGGCCTTTGTTTTTTTCAATTTGCATGTTTATTTCCATCTTTTATAGTTTCAATCTCTCCCCATATACTCTTATTAACACCACAAACTTTTGGTTCTTTATTTCCAACACCTTCATTCTCATCATTGCTATTGATTTTAATTTTGGCCCTAATTTCTCTTCTTCATCATCAATTGATCAAGAATATTACATGAAAATTTGTCAAGAAAAAAGTACTAGTACTAGTACTCCATTTAATTATTCTCCGTATACTATCGAAAAAAAGGAAATTATTATTCCTCATGAAGAAGAACATATAAAAGACGTAGTTCATGTCGAAAACAACAAACAAGAAGACGAAGAACAAATAATCAACATTATTGATCGTAAAAATGAGAAGAAGGGTGAAGTGAAATTCTATCGGAGTAATTCAGAATTAAAAGCAATAATACCGGTGGAGGAAAATGAGAACTTTAAAAAGGATTCAAAGGTCAAAATCTGAGAGATATAATGATTTACAAGTAAATGGAGATGAAGAAATTAATGATGAATTTTTAGATATGTCAGTAGAGGAATTGAATAGAAGAGTGGAGGAGTTTATTCAACGATTTAATACACAAATTAGACTCCAAAGAGAACTCCAAACTTAATTAGGAGAAATCTATAAGTAGTGTACGTATTATAATTTGAACTGTCTACTTAGCTATATACTTTAGTACTATGTTTTTATAGTTGTTGTCATTCTCGTCGTCTTGTGTTAAGTTCTGTTTTGTTTTTCCTTTCCTTGTTGAAGGTGTAGTTTTTTTTTTTAATCGTAAGTTTACCTTATATTAGATATGAGCTTATAATTTGAAACATATACACAATGAACTCCCTATATATATAGTATATATGTTACTATTATTTTTGGTTGTTGTGTGTGTTCCATTTTATTTTTCTTGGTAACGAATGTATGTAAAAACTAAGATTAATTCATAAAATTTATATTTTGAATTCACCTTCATTTCGTTGTTATCGTGAGTACAACCTCCTTGTAATGCAACTAATACGTAGTTCTTATATTACATCTTAAGATATGCATCGATTTATATATATTGCCTGCGATTTGCAATTTCAATTCAGACTTACAATTATTATTATTATTATTTATTCTATGTACTATAAATTAATGATGTCTTGTGGCGTTACTTTTGTAACGTGTCTATAAAAAAACACTATAAATTATTGAGATATAAGAGTAACGTAACGTGGCCATAAAAAACTAGCTATTGCAATTAATATTGTTGAGATGCAAATGCAACGTGGAGTGGAGGGGAAAGTATATATTATGTCGAGCAATAATTATTTGAACAACTAAGAAGAATAGTGGACCAGCACAAGTTATGTTTCCAACAAGATTTCCATTTTTTTTAGTTTGAAAAATACGTTTGTGATTATAACGGAAGTTGCTAAGAAATGTTATTTCAATATTTTTCTAAATTATGATTGATTATAATATAATGCATGTTAATTGTAGAGACTTGTTCTAATTTTTGGAAGCAATGCATGAATTAAACTTACTATAACTTCTAATCACTCTCTCACCCTACTTGAGTTCACTAATTGAGGATCATCATGTTAATGTAGAGGTCTAATTGTAGGCCACACACTTGATAATTCATTTTCTTAGTTATGAAAATTTGTATATTGATTTAATCAACTAAATAAGAGATAAGATTGTGAAATAGTATTAGGAAGCATATATTGGGCTTACTTGTTATTGAAATTGGTCTTTAGAATACACTTGTTGGGCCTCAATAAGAATTTGGGAAAAATAAGCAAATACCCCATAAAAGCAAAATAATTACAAACATATACCCTTTTACATTCACATTCAACTAAATAATTACACTATATAACCCCATTTACTAATTTCGCTTAACTGATAGTGAATCAGTATCATATATACTGTATTTGTATCATTAAGGCTGATAATTTCGCTGAATTGATATTAAATCAATATATATATATATATTGTATTGGTATCATTAAAGTTTGTTGTTAAGAAATTACTCATTAGTCAATGATACTATAAGAATATACATATGTATTCTTATAGTAGCATTGACTAATAAGTAATTTCTGAACAAAAAACCTTAATGATACCAATACATTATATATATACTGATTTAGTATCAGTTAAGCGAAATTATCAACCTTAATGATACCAATACAGTATATGATACCGCATTAGTATCACTTAAGCGAAAATTATCACTCTTAATGAATGGGGGTATGGACTGTAATTATTTATGAGAGAATGGGTATTTCAGAAATTACTTTGGATTTGGATATGAACTTGTAATTATTTTAGATTTTATGGCCCATTTATGCAGTTTTCCCAAAGAATTTCAAGTTAGAAAAGGACCATTTTACAATCAAATCCGTTTGCCACAATTAGGCTAGAATTTCCACGCAATCACACTGGTACCAACATTGGAGCACGACTAAATTCGGATTCATCTCGAAAAATCTCACATCGTGGGTAAAGCATCCCTAACAAAGGTGACTTCGTATTCAATGAACTCAAACTTGAGACGTCTGATTAAGGATGAAGGAGTAATTATCACTCCACTACCATCCTAATTGGTCACAATCATATCATGTTCCCATGGTAAATCAAAGAAGTTAGCAACAAACACCTAGACTGAAATACTTCAAACTCCAATCACTACCTGGCCTACATGTTTTCCATCCCATCCTATTATTTCATGTTATTATAGTGCCTACAACACAGAAATTCGCGGTGGATAAGCCTACTAAAGAGATGAAGAAAATTGAGGATAAGCTTATTGAAAAGATATATATAGATGTTCCTATTAAGAAGTTGTCAACTATCATAATTCGAACTTAAATCTCGAAAATAAAAGAATCTCAATTATATCATCACATTATTTGATGGTAATACATGGCCTACCCGACAAGAGTTATAGTGGAGTGGTAAGTACTCCTTCATCCTTAACCAAGAGATCTCGGTTCGAGCCTCTTTTGGGTATGTAGTCACCTTCGTTAGGGAGTGCTTTACCCCCAATGTGGGACTTCCTGGTGCGACTCTGAATTTAGTCGAGCTCTAATATGGATACCGGATGAAAAACCAAAAAAATAAAAATACATGGCCTATATCACCAAAATCCGTATTGGGTAGGCCTACGTACTAAAGAAATAGGAGAGAGGTTCATAAAAGAAAAAAATGTTCAAAATAAGAAGTTGCCGACTATATATGAGGACTCAACCGTCGATCCAAAACCTTTCTTTCTTTTTGGTTCTTATGTGTTCAATATCTATATTAAAATTCAATTACTCTAGATTTGCATTGCATAGGATTTTATTCAGGGGAAATATTTTCTACGAAAGATTTTTTCATACCTAAAAGTTGAACCAAAAATATTTACTATTTAAGAAAGAAACAACTCCATTCACTGCACCACATTCTTGAACAATCGACCCATAACCTTTTAAATTTTAATTTTAGAAAGGGATGAAGAATCTTAGCAATCTCAATCACATCGTTTATAATGGTAAAATAAGGCCTACATAACCAAATATTCACCAACGGGCATTACAAAGATTGACAAAGTCTCTTGCAACTTGTTTGGATAGTGGTTATATATTGTATCATAGTATATTATTTTGTGTTATTAATTTAAATATAATATTTAGTTTTATTATTACTTAAATTTTAGTGTATCATATTGTTAAATTCATTATTATGTAATAATAAAAAATTCTTTTTACGCGGTGATCAAACTGATTGTTTTACCTTTCATTTTTATAAATCTTATTATGTATGTATTTTTTATTGATGTGAGACATTATATAACGACCCTCTTCATTCACTTTTATTTGTCCACGCCAACCAGCCCAATACAAGGAGTTATGACATGAGATGTTAAATGTAGTAAACCCCTCACACACCCAAAGAGAGACAGAAGAGACCCACACGCAGTTACATCACAATATAGCAACTACACAGACTGTAAGGATATGAGTGGTATATACAAGCACCGCATTTTTGCTTCTCATCTTCTTTCTCTTCTCTTTTAGATCCCGCCGGTGAGTTTTCAGATCTGACCGGAAACATGATCTACCCGGAACCCATTGACCACTTCGATCGATTACCAGACTCAATTCTTCTATTCATCTTCAACAAGATCGGCGATGTTAAGGCTTTGGGTCGTTGCTCTGTGGTGTCTAGAAGGTTCAATTCACTAGTTCCTGAAGTTGACAACGTTCTTGTTCGCGTTGATTGTGTTATCTCCGATGATGAATCATCTTCTCCGTCTTCTTCTTCTGGTTACTCTTCTGATAAGTCCCGGCACCCCATCTCTTCCCTTTTTCGTTTGGTCTTCTCTGGTTTACTCAAACCCTTTCAATCTATAACCCAATTCATTTCCATTTCACCTCGACGTGCTGCCTCTTCTTCCGCTGCTGTCGTTGACGGTGATGATTTTGAGAAGAACTCCGTGACCCATCACTCCCCTACTCAAGTTCTGAAGAACTTTAACGAGATTAAGCTTCTCAGAATCGAATTGCCTAGTGGTGAGCTCGGGATAGATGAGGGGGTGTTGCTGAAATGGAGAGCTGATTTTGGATCGACCCTCGATAATTGTATTATACTTGGTGCATCTTCAGTGATTCAACCTGTAACTAGTACCAGTGGTTGTAGTCTTCCGAATATTGATGGAAATGGGGAAAATGATAATGGGAGCATACCCGATTCGTTTTACACGAATGGGGGTTTGAAGCTGCGGGTGGTGTGGACGATTAGTTCGTTAATTGCAGCTTCCGCAAGGCACTATCTGCTGCAGCCGATAATTGCGGAGCATAAGACTCTGGATAGTTTGGTTTTGACAGATGCAGATGGGCAAGGAGTGTTGTGTATGAACAAAGAGCAACTGGAGGAGCTGAGGGTGAAGCCTCTCTCAGCTTCATCGGCCTCCAAAAGGACTTTGGTTCCGGCATTGAATATGCGGTTGTGGTATGCCGCACATTTGGAATTACCTGATGGAACAGTGCTCAAAGGGGCCACTTTGGTGGCAATAAGGCCGAGTGAGCAGCCCAAGAAAGAGGTAGTTGGGGGAGATGGGAATTGGGTGGCAGCTGCATTCAAGGAGCCTTATGGGACAGCTGCTAGGATGCTGGTGAAAAGAAGGACTTACTGTTTGGAGATGAACTCATTTTGATTATAGAATTAATGCTGTTTGGATAGCGTTGTGGATGCATTTCCGAGGTAACTTAATCTGAAGCTGCTAGTAATACATTCTTAATTTTCGTCTGATATATATATGTGATTGCAAGTTACTAGTGTATGTGCTAATGCAAGGAGAGAACTTCTTGAATGACTCTAAAGTTTATATTTGCTATGTTTGAGAGCAGTTTTTGTTGCTCAATCCAACCAATTTGGCTGCATTATAATTGTTTGGTTTCATCAAAATGTTGCCCCTGATCTTCAGGTTGAGCTCAAAGCATTTTTCTGTTTGATGAGGATAAAGAACTGGAAATTCATATTTAGCTTCCATTTGAAACCTGGACTTGCATAGCAGCATTTGTATTGCAAGCTGTTTTTTCTTCCGCTGCTTAGGTTCCTTTTTGTGTTGCTTCTCTTTATAAAGGTGTTAATGAATGGTTCTAACTGAAAATGCATCTCTTGATTAAATTATCGTTTGTTGGAATGTGCTGGTCCATGATTGGGTGTCGAATGATTGTCTGTTAGATCATTCACTAGTGCCTTTTGGCCTTGATCTGTTATCTGTTCATGATTTTGTTAAAATTATACTCCATGTATATGTCAACAATTCTAGTTTCGTAAGTGCATATGTTGATTTTTCTATTTTTCAGGGAACGCCAAGAAGTTGGATGAACTCATACTTAAGCTGAGGAAAAGGTTATGAGCCAGCATTGCTTCTGGAGATAAAATAACAGTCAGTCAGTCATAAGCTTTGGATCAGCCAGTGTCACTTAGAAAGGATGGAATATAGGCATCTGCCTTTGTTTTAATTTTGAGCATATGCTTCTTAAGAGTGCACAAATTTCCCCTCGAAAATGTTACGAGAGCTTTGTACCTTTGACTTTGTGAATATTGTAGTTATGCATAATGTTATGTGATGACATACATGTACCTTTAAGGTTCATGAGTAACGAAATGTGCGTTGTTGCTGCATCTTTTTTTTTCTTCTTGAATTTGCAGCTGGCTCTAGCTATCTCAGTAAATAGGCCTTGTCGTGCTTTTCTATTTTTAGCCGCTGGAGCTATTAAGCAGCTTACGTTAATTGATATGAAACTATGATTGCCAGTGTGAGTTCAGCTGATCTTTGCAGGATATGAATAATGGTAAGAGATTCCAATATACATACACTCTACCCTTCTAAGACCCCACTTTGGACTATACTAGATATGTCGTTGTAATTGTAGTGTTGGTCTGCATGTGCGTGCATCGAATATTTCACTTGGATGCCTCTTTCTACCAAGGCTTATGTGAAAGAAATTTACTCTATACTATACACAATCTTTATGTAGTTGGATCTAGTTAAATGTTGATAACGTGGTGGACCTCAATTCTACTGTATGCAGTCCTTAGCAGGGTATTGGCCATAGCAAATTAATGACCCAATGTTTTGGCCATATCAAATCCAAGAACCTTTTATATGCAAAGGTGACTTCTATAATTAAATTTGCTCCAACAAATGTATTCTTTCTGACATAATTTACAAGTCGATATCATCTATACATGAAGATCAATCAAAAAAGTATAACATACAGTTGTTATCTCATTCAAACAGAAGGATTAGGATACTCATGTAACAACATTATCTGCCACTGGTAAATTGCTTAACCAAGGAAGCAGCTTCTCATGGACAAGATCAGGTCTGTCATCATGAGGGCAATGCCCTACACCTTCTAAAAGAAATAAACTCACATTTGGTTTTTGAGAAGGTAAGGATGAGAAGTATCTACCAACAGGGCCATCGATCGGAGTAAATGGATCTTGATCACCCCATAACACAAGTATAGGCAATGTCATTTTTGGGATCAACTGCACTGGGTTTGGTCCTGGTGGACCTGTCACAATGGATACAAAAGCATCAAGCGCGCCTTCAGCATCTGCTGGTGTTCGAATAATGTCCACCAGATCTTCATCCACAGACTCCTTGTTTCCATAGACAGACAACAAGATATTCTTTAGATTTTCTCTCTGTTTGACCCGATTAAAGATTGCAGAAGCGATTGATTTTTGGTTCAATAAGAAGTCAACAAGCCAGAGTAAAGGCGATAGCAACTTAATCCTCCAATCGTCAACAATTGCCTTGTTATTCATGCCTCCAGCACAGTTCAACAAAACAAGCCCTTGAATGGATGTTTGAGAAGGATCTGCAGCAGCTATTACACAAGCAAGGCTTCCGACAGAGTTCCCTACCAATACGGTTGGTCTTTGAATAACTTCGTTCACGAAATCCAATATTAACTGAGCCCAAGTTTCCATGTTATATGCAAATCCTTCTGGCTTGTCAGAAGCACCAAAACCAAGGAGGTCAATAGCATACACTCTGTAATTTTGAGCAAGCGTGGCAATGTTCCTGCGCCAATGGGTGACAGAGGCACCAAAACCATGAACTAGGAGTAGAGAAGGGCGAGAAGTGTCGTTGTTGCGCCTTTGATAACTCAAGTAATTTATGTTGTAACCTCTCCATACCCAAGTTTTGCACATTGTCTTAATCTCATTCACCTCAAGTGGCAACGGTTCTTCCTCCTTTGAAACAATGGCGGAGGTAGAGGAGGCAGAGCATTTGATGCTGCTAATAGTGATACAGCTGGGCTTGCTGCTACTACTTTGAAGACCAATGTTTAAACTGATGATGGTGTTACTACATAGTTTCTTTAAGTTCCTGGAGGCAGCAAATGGTGATGAAGGTAGAAAAACAAGAGGTGAAGCACGAACTGCGACTACCATTGCTTTCTGCAAGGAGGATAAACGAGATATGTTCCTTTTGAAGGGCGTAAAAAAACATAATATTGAACAAAGGATGGTACTGTATGAGGTGAATGTCTTACTCCACAGGCATAAGATACTCTATAACATATAAGAATTACTACGACAGAGACAGAGTTCTCATCAATTACAATTTCGGTAAAATACCAAATGCAAGGAACATCTGGAGTAAGAACAAGACGGTATATATGGTGATAAAGAAAACCTTCCCTTCCAACGAGATTCATGGAACATTTCCGGTTATACGCTATAAGTAATGAATCAAAAAACACAAAAAAAAAAAAAAAAAAAGGTTTTGCATCCATTGCAAAACTCATGATTTTCTTCTATATGAATGTTTGTGGTCATACTTAGTATAGCAAATGTGCTATTGCATAGGAGCGGGGTTTTACCCTGTGCGCACCCAAAGGGTAGCGGCTATAGATTTCCCTTGTCATAAAAAAAAAATAGTACAACAAACGATTCCAACCAGTCATGCATAGTTAAACTTCCTATTTTTCTTGTCTAAGGGGTCGTTTGGTTCGCAGACTAAGTTATCTCGGCATTATAATCCTGGAAGGCTGGAACTATAATCCCTGGACTAATTTATCATACCTGGAAGGTGGGATAAAATAACCCCAAGTTTAATGGGATAAGGAGGGATTATTTTTGTGATTAAATTTATCCCCTGAACCAAATAATCCCTAACATCATAGGTCCTAGCTAGCATACTCATATTCAGACATGATCATTTACAACAATTCCTACATCTTTTACTTTCCAAGATAAACTTTTTTCCATACTTAAAAACAAGTAAAATTGGTCAAATTTCTTGGTTTTATAATTTAAATCAATTAAGAAGGGGCAAATTATTTTAAAGTTTCAAAATACTACTACTTTTTATCCTTCAACTTTAAATTAAACGAAAAGAGAAAAGATACTTTCTAAATCAAATATGAAATGCAATAATGGAACTGTAAGAGAAGAAAACCAGAGGGAGCGAGATGGGAATACCTGCGACTTGGAGGAATCAGGAACCACCACTTTGTGCTTTACACAACAAGACAGAGAAAAAAAGGCTCTTTTATTTTACCCCCATATTGTTGTGGCTTTCATTTTTTCCCCTCAAAAGTTTCTATTATTTCACTCCTTCTTTTTTGATTCCCCCTTAGAGTTCGACTAATTCAAATTCCCCCCTTAGAGTTCGACTAATTCAAATTCGCACGGGATAAAGTCCAATTTGAGGATAATGCTCTCTACCAAGGATTATTTCACTTTTGTGTTTCTCTTCCTCTTTTATTATTTTAGATTTCGAGATTCAAACAAGATTATTTTTTACCTTAAATTTTTCATATATCTTTTAAATATTTTGGATTGTCAATTATTGTGACTTATTCGAATTTTATGTAGTTTACAAATATCTAAATTTCATTTCAAAAACTAAAGATTTCATGCGTAAATCCCTTGTGGCTTGTTTGACTCTTAAAAAATGAAATGTGTCACATAAATTAAGACAGCTTCATCCATTTAATCAAATGATAGGTACTTGTTCTGTTGTAATAAGGTTTAATACGATAAATAAATTTGGCATAATACATAAACATGACCCTTAACTTGGCGTCAACAGACAACTATGACATTGAACTTTGGGTGTGCACAAATTGACACTTAAACTTGTATAAAATTAAACAAGTAGACATGTGTCCTACGTGACATAATACACTTAGGACGCCACGTAGGACACAAAATTGCTATGTAGGGTGCCATATAGGACGAATGTGTCTATTTGTTCAATTTTATACAAATTTAAGTGTCTACTTGTGCATAACCAAAGTTAAAGGTCATAGACTCATAGTTGTCAAGTGACGCTAAATTAAGGGTCATGTTTATGTATTATACCAATAAGTTTCATGTACATTCTTTATTTCTTCTAAAAAGGAAAATAAAGTTGTTGTTTTTCTTTTTATAGTGGGAAAAGGTTAAAATTATCCCTAACGTATTGAAAATGGCTCACAAATACCCTCATTCCACCTATTAGATAAAAAAATGTCCTCCAATCCACCTATTTGGATAAAAAATGTCCTTAAGGAATCTAAAAACTAACCCTCCTTTTAACAAAATCTGATGTGGCATAAATAAATATTTTAAATTAAATATGTGGCATTATTTTTTTTATCCACATATAATTAGATCCAATTTCATTTATAATCATACTCATTAACCCGAATTTTAAAAACCCAACATGTGGAGGGGTAGTGATCATCCATGACGGATCGAACCAGCGAAGATGAGTGTTTGATATTAGTCAGCGATGGACTATGGAACAAGACCGTGGGTGGTGTGGCTCGTGTGTGCTTTCAATCAAGACGGCCACAGTCTCCGACAGGTTCGCCAGAAAATGACATCACGGTGACCGGCGCCGGAGAAAGCTCCAACAAGGCGTGCTCAGATGCATAAATTCTATTGACGAAATTAACCTTGGCTAGGCACAATACTGATAAGTGATAATAGTAGCTACCGTTTGGCCATAGATTTCTAAATATTCTTGGCAAATATTATTTGGGTGAAAACTTGGGTGAAATTTCACCATGTATTTGGGAAACATATTTCACTTTTTTAGAAAAATATGATTTATATCCATAAGTTTTAAAAACTATCAAAACTAACCATAAGTTTGTATTACAAGTTAATTTGATCTTCGTTGCAATAAATAACAAGTAGTGTCCATGACACTGGAGCAATGTGGTAGTTTGGAGTGAGTGCAACAAGCATCATTACATACATCGTGAAGTAGACAAAGCACATGACTTTGTTACCCTGAGCCGATTGTTCATTATTTTCATCAACAATCATATCATCAATTTCATATCACCGAATATTTCATTACTAATTTGATGTTCACGTAAAAAATTATGTAATACAACGCAAACAACTACTATAGAGGGTGTTTTTGAAAAAGATAAAGTTTGGTGTAAAATTTTAATTTTTAAAAGATCTCAAATAATGAGATTTAGCCCAAATACTAGAAAAAACTAGTATTTGGGAATTTGGGATATTTGCCAAATAACAAATTATATGGACAAACACTATTTGCCAAATTTTTCCTCAAATATTACTTAAAAAATCTATGGCCAAACGGGTCCTTAGTGTTGTGGT